AAATAATAAAAGGTTTTACTTAGTCATTCTAACATCAGGCAACACGCCCATGTTAATTTCCCCAACTCGGCATTTACCTTTCTCACCCCCCAAACAAAAACAAACGAACAAAAAAAAAAAACCTCAACTGAGTCGTGTTCTACACTTAAAAATTAAAGCATTTTGCTGACCGGGCATGACAGCTAATGGACAGTATTCAACAAGGTTCATTAAAAAAAAAATACTAACAACCCTTCCACCCACACATCCTCTAAAGTTTCTTTAGTATACCTAACATGCTAGTTAAAAACAACATCCCTTACCCACCCACCCTCTCACCTGCATTGATTTTTAGGGACAAAGAAGAAAAAAAAAGAAACCGTAGCACCCTAAAAACAAGAAAAACCCCAGAACATGAAAAATCTCCATCTGAAGAAAGAAAACTACACAGACAACTAGAAACAAGGAACTATGACAGAGCTGGTTATTTAAAGGAAGTAAACACTTTGCTACACACGTTAACATTCAGTCAGTGTGCTCTGAGATAGAGCCTTAAGAAAAATACTACCTGAGCTTGTAGTTAATACAATCATTAAAAGGAGGTCTAAGACCATGTGAATACACAAAACTTTTAGAACCATTACTGGTTAAATGATGATGGAAACCATCCCACCAGGCTGGCTTGTTAACCCGTAAGATCAGTTTAAAAATAGGCATCACTGAGGTATTTCTTCACCATGACATTTTTAAACCCAATTCACAATAATTACAGTGGTCTTAGGACCCTCTCCTCCAACCAAAAAAAATTAACTAGGGGGAAAAAGAGGTGGAGAGGCAATCCAGTATTATCTTGGTAATGTGCTTCTCAACTTTGTCATCAAGTATTTAATAAACAAGGAGGGGAAAAGAACAGCCCTGTTAACATGTTACCTTTGGTAGGCAAATAAAAAATAAAAAAAATAAACACAAAAGAATAACACACTTTCCCAGTCACTGCTCAGTAAAACAGCGATTGTTGCAACGTCATGGTGATAAACATCCTGCTGGGTCCAGAAAAGCTACAAATACAATCACCAAGTCTAAAGATGCTTGTTCCCTTCAAATATTTGATGTTTCCAACCACTAGACCCTTAGAACTGCTCCTAAAAAGGGTATACTTGCAGACATTCAAAATACAGATAAAATATTTTTCTCTTGAAGAGAAAGACCTAAAGGTCTTTAGTTGCAGTTAAGTCCTCGAATAGCTCAGATGAACCAGTAGTTTCATAATACTGAACAACATGGTAATAGTGTGCCTAATTCCTAGTTGGGGGGGGCGGGGGGGACAGATTAGTAAGAAATACTTGGATTTCTGTCTACATTTGCCTGAGTATAGGAATATTTGGTTTCAAAGTTTTTTTTTTCAAGATTAAACCTTTTCCCTGGGAGAAATCAGTTCTCGATTTATGGAAACATTTTCTTCACGAGGTATCTCCCCACTCCCATCCACTCCCCAGTGGATTAATACTCTTCTTTTCAGAGACCCATCATGATGCGAACATGAGGTAGATGACTTTCGCCAAAAGTGAGGTAGAAACTAAACAAAAACAAATGGTGCGTGGTGGAGTGGAGTGGTGTGTGTGTCCTGTGCCCCTGGCCTGCAGGAAGCCAGAGAAAGCTCAACAGCAGTGGAAGGCTGCGGCTCTAGGATACCATCCCGTGCAGAAGGGTTTGACTTTTATACAGCCCCAGACTGTTGGAATCGCAAGAGTGATGTTGTCAATAAATACCCTAAATACTTTTTTGGCACCATTGGACTTTTTTTTTTTTTTTTAAACAGAAAAACAAGCCTTATAACTTTGGCATTTCTTTCAACTATCTACCAGAATACAGCAATCTTAGAATCTCCCAGAGGAAGACGAAACATATACAGACAGAATTCTGCTGCTTCAAGCCTAAGAAAAAAAAAAAAAAGACTTCCCTCCTCAAATTTTTAAGCTTTGGCTTAACTAGAATACAACAGAGTGAGCCAATCTCTAGTTATTCCCTTACAGCTCCATCACCAAGTGCCTGAAATCTGGCAACTTTTTTGGCCCAACGCGTAATTTAGATTCTGTTTATGGTACCCTTGCTATGTGTTTCCCCAGATAAGTTAGACTTAAAAGGGCATCATCCATCCATCAAAGGCTTAGTGCACCTGGGGTTACTGGCCGGCCTCCTGGGCTCCAGCCACCTGCCAGGCACAGCAAGCACAGGTTTCGAGAGAGAGCACTGCTTCTTGTGACCACATTTACAAAGGAATGATTTTTTTTTTTTAAAGAAAAGATTAACACCTTTGAAAAGTCAGTGTCAACCAAAAGTGGTTTTCATCTGTGCTGTTAAGATTTCCTTTAGCCATCCATCTCAATACCAAACCTATATATTCAAATCTAATTGGCATCTCCAAACATGAACTGACATCCCACCCTATCCCACCCCACCCCACCCTGCCACCTGGGACATACATAGCGATTATTGTCTAACTATCACATTTACTCAACAGAAACATTTTATCCTCCTGCCTTCCAGCACCCAGGACCTTATCCTCTCATCAAGTTAAAGACTTCCCTCTTTGACCCAATCCCTACCTACCCTAGCATCACTTCATAATGGGCAGGAGAGATGCATTTATATACACCTATTTTGTACAGCCTCATTCACACTACGGAATTCTAAATGTTGGCTTTTCTCATCTTTCTTTGATTTGGAGCATTCCACATTGTACAATAAACACACTCCAAAGTGCTTCGCACCATCCCTGTGGGTTAGGAGTCAGTTATGGGCAGCCAAAGATGCCCAATGTTTTTAAAACAAAATCTTCCCAAGTGTGAACATGTTTCGCAAATGGCAGTGATGCACAAGTTTGGGTGCAGAAAGGTAAGGAGATGTACCACCATTGCGGGTCAAGAGAGGCAGTACCGCCCACCTACACGCTCATTCCAGGGACGACCTACGAGCTTTAAGTCTGCAAATTAGTTTGTCTGTTTATTGTTAAGACCTGGTAATTTCAGCCATACGTGGAAACCCTGGCTTTACAACCAAATCCACAGAAAAATGTTAAGCAAGCAATTGTAGTTACTGCTATTCAACCAATAAAATTCCCCACTCAGGTGCCAAGATATCCCCGTATGTGGGGAAGGAAAGAGGAGGTGAAGATGATGATGAAAACGAAGATGGACTAATCAAAGGTAGTGACTACCTGAAATAACCCAGTCATAATCATGACCAAGTTTCTGGGAACACTGGAAAGAACTTTCAAGGTCCATTTCCTCTAATAAAAAAAATTTTTTAAGCACTTAAAACCAGTTGTCTTTGGTGTTTAAAGGGTGATTTGTTGGGTAGTTGATGTGTGTGCACGTGCGTGCGTGCGCGTGCGCGTGTGTTAAAGGAAGGAGGTTCAGCACCAAGTTATTTCACAATAAAAAACAATAAAAATGCATAATTACGTGAGCTCTTTACCAAAGAACTTAGGTCTTAGGGACAAAATAAAAGGCAATAGAATAGGAATCAAGGAAGAATTCACTATTAAGTTCTTCAATAAAAGAAAAGGCGCTTTTACAAAACGAGATTTCGTGCTGCCTCCCCCACTCTGCAACACAGCACCTGGGGGGAGGCAGCAGGTTGAAGTCACGTTTCAATTTTTGGATACTTGACTGCATGCAGTTCTTTAATAAATGTGTTTTCTCCCATTTGGGTCATTCAGAAACCCTAGAACTAAAGCAATGGGAAGAGACAGAGGGTACCCTGATGCGGTGAATTAAATGTCCAAAACAGCTGGGTGGGAAAAGCAATTTGATTGACTTGATCTATACTATACCGTCTGTCATCGCCTTTTCTTTGGGGATGACAAGAACAAATTGCTTCATCTGTTAAGTTTATGTCTGTTATTTAAAACTATATCCACATTGCAAAAGGAATTTCTCTTACATACAAGAACAGAAAGTGATCAACCGTTATTAGTCTTTCTGTTTAAACAAGAGATCTCCTTATAAGCACCGCTGGCTGAGAGCCCGTCTTTCTCCTGAGGTGTGCAATTCTCGAATTGGGTTCCTATTTCAGTATTGGGGTGGGGTGGGGGGAAGGCAGGGATCCATAAGGGTTCTGACAAGCAGGTTATAAGCTCCACCCAATTTCCACTTGAGAGACAGATAATGCCCAGAAGCACAAGGTTTTGTATCCAAGTCCAGCTTAAAAAACCAACCCTGTAAAGTGACAGACGCCATCCCACAGTTTCTGCAGTGGGAGCCTGGCTTAAATTTTCATTCTTTGGTACCGAGATACGGGTTTAACTAAAGATAGTATATCCTACGTTTTGAGTTGGGATGATTTAGTTCACAAATCCTTTACATTCAAAGGCCTTTGAGGAGCGGAGGGGGCTAGGGGGTTCCCGTTAACCATGAGGGCCTACAGTATGGCTCGGGAGCAGACCGCTCTGTAAAAGAGACCCAAGCAGAGGGTGTGGAGATGGGCTGTTCCTATTAATTTGACTCACAAACATTCTATTTCCCTGAACTTCCAAAGCAGGAAAAAAAATTGTGCTTTTTAAAATAAAAGTTCATTCCTTTGCCTACTCTTCTTAGGAAAAGAAACACCTAGCATTAACAGAACAACATTCAATCTAGAGTGGGGGATCAACCCCCATCCTCCTGCAGAGTCCGGAAGAGTTTGGGGGTGACTTGCGGCTTTGTCATGCTCTCTGACTACCTCAGCACCACACTCGTGTCCACACACCAGGCCAATGTCCAAAAATCCTCTTTGTAGAATGAGGTTCACTGTCGTCTTCTTTCCGTGTAACTCTTTATAACCAACAGCAAACTTAGAATACTTTACTTTTGAGAATACTTTTTAATCAACAATCCCGAACTACATCTATGATTTTTAGAAACTAAAGTATGAAAAGAAAAGGTTCTTTGGGAGGTGGTGTTCTCACTTTCAGCTTTACGAATTTGGTGTTAGGATGCCTTCATACACACACACCCTACCTTAGAAGAAACGAAGATTACATACCCTAAAATATGAATAGTCTGCTTTTCTTGGCTAGCAAGCCACAGCCACATCTTCTAGGAGTAAGAAAAGATGCTGAACAGGATGATCAACACAGTGAGGTATAAAAGGAGAACATAGGAAAGTTCTCTGTTGCAGCATTTTAAAAAAAGAGAGATTTTTTTCCCAAAAAGATCAAGAACACACAACACAACCTAACCCCATAAACACAGTATTCTCAACACAAATACTCTATAATTAGGCATTTTAAATCCTATTTTTCCACATTTTATACTTTGTTTTCCTTAGTAGTTTTTTTCATGTTTCCTTGGCTCAATCTACAGAATACAGCCCACCACTCACATCCAGTGCCCTCCCAGCCAGAGGCGCAAGGCTTGTGCATATCACGCCCCGCAGAGGGGGAAGAGGGAACCGTGAACTCCACTGAGTGAGGGTGGGAGGCGGGCAGAGGGCCTGCTGGAGAAGGAAATGGAAAAGATTTATGAGGTAGATAGAAATTATCACTTCACAGGCTCAATCCCTGCAGAAAAGATAAGTACATTCATCTGTAAAAAAATAAAGATGAGGTAGGACTTAAGCAATGTTGTACTTTTCTTGTTCTCTTTAAACAAAAGAAAAAAAAAAAGAAATTTCCCTGAGACTGTTTTTCTTCTTTGAAATTCAAAAGGGGAGAGACAGAGAGACAGAGAGACGTACACATGCACACCCCAAACACAGAAGCCTAGAAAATGTGATTAGAAGATGAGGATTCGATTGTTGCCAAAGTCCACCACGACGATCATCCCGTCAGGGGTGACGGCGATGCCAGATGGGCGGTCCATCTGCCCAAAGCCACTGCCCTGAGCGCCGAACTTGCACAGGAAGCTGCCATTGGCCTCGAACATCTGTACCCGGTGGTTCCTGGAATCAGCCACGATGATGCGCCCCTCCTGGTCCACGGCCACGCCCTGTGGGCGCAGGAACTGCCCATTGCCAGTGCCCTCTGAGCCCAGGAAGCGTGCCGACTGGCAATCGGGGTGAATGACCAGGAGCCGGTGGTTGTTGAAGTCGGTGACCACCAAGTGACCCTCGTGGTTGAAGGCCACGCCCCGAGGGGAGTCAAAGTGCTTCCAGAGAGCCCCCTCGAAGCCGTACTTATTCAGAAAGACTCCATCCGGCCCGAACAGCTGGATCCGGTGGTTCCGAGTGTCAGAGACCAGGATCTTGCCCTCAGAATTCACCGCCACATCCCAAGGGTAGTTGAACTGCCCATTCTTGGTTCCTTTCTCGCCAAACTTGAGGAGGAACTGGCCATCAAAGGTGAAGATCTGGATGCGATGATTGTCCTTGTCAGCCACCACGATCCTTCGGGAGGCGTCGCAGGCCACCCCGGCCGGCCGGTCGAACTGCCCGGGCCGGGAGCCCAGGGTGCCGAATTTGTGGTGGAAGGTGCCACAGGGCTTGAATACCTGGATACGGTTGTTGCTGCGGTCGGCGACGACAATGAAGCCCTCCTTGTCCACACTCACCCCCCAAGGGCGGCAGAGCTTGCCATCGCCGTCACCCTCGCTGCCAAAGCTCAGGCCGGGGAGCCCGATGCCCACGTAGCTGCGGCCAGACTTGACCATCACCTTGAAGGGGCTGTTCTCAATGTGCTGGTTGCACATGGTGACTGACACCAGGTGCTCGCCCTCCAGCTGGGGCCGGTAGCTCACCACGTAAGTCCCATTCTGCTGATCACTCACCTCTGCCCCAAACAGGTTGCCATCAGGGCCCAGGACCACGGCCGACATGAGGTCGCCTCCGGAGAGACGGGGCTCCCCATCATGGTCGTAGCCAATGACGGTGAAGGAGGCCACCTTCCCCTGGAGGGCCCGCTTGAGGCCATCGCCCGTGGCCTTGGTGAGTGGCGCAAAGGCCCCGCTACTGACAAAGCCGAAGGACTTGATGGCGAGATACAGGGCCTGGTCGGGGGGTGTGAACATGACCCGGTCGTCTTCTTGGGGCTGCAGGAGGCTGCGCACATTCTTCAGCTCCTGCACCTGGGCCAGCATGCGGTCTCGGGCCAGCAGGATATCCAGCGCCCTCCCCTCCTCCAGGACCTGCTGGACGGCACTGATGGTGCTCTCAAGCTTGTTGAGGTTCTGCCGCAGCTTCTCCACCTGCAGGTACAGAGACTTGGCTTTCACCTGGCGGATCTTCTCTACCTGGAGAAAGGTGAGAACGGGGAGAGAGGGCACAGAGGCTTAAAACCACGCAGAGAAAAACACACATAACCTGTCCGATCGTCACGAGGAAGCCACAGACAAACCCACGCTGAGGGATCATCGACAAAAACAACTGGTCTGCGCTCTTCAAACATGGCAGAATCCAAAGGCAAAGGAAGGCCAAGGAACTGTTTGTTCCGGATACAGGAGATGACTGAAGAGACGTGACAACTAAATGCAACGAGTGACCCTGGGCTGGGGGGGATACTGTTATTAAAACACTATTGGTGGGGGCCGGCCAAGTGGCTCAGTTGGTGAAAGCGCGAGCTCTGAGCAACAGGGTTGCCAGTTCGATTCCCACATGGGCCAGTGAGCTGCGCCTGAGCTGAGCTGCTGTAAGCTGCCAATGGGTGGCCAGATGGCAACTGGACTTGAGGCTGAACAAGCCGAGCCCTCCACAGCTAAGATTGAACAGACAACAATTTGGCTGTTCCCCTTCCCCAATAAAATCTTTAAGAAAAACAAAAACAAACAAAAAACAAAACAAAACACACCATTGGTGAAATTTGACTACCGACTAAGGATTAGATAGTATCAAGATTAAACTTCCTGATTTTGATTAACTGTGATTATCTAAGAGAATGTCTTTGCTCTGAGGAAATAAACACTGAAGCACTTAAGGAAAAAGAGGCATTGTGTCTCCCAACACTGCAACTTGCTCTCAAATCATATATACAATATACGTATAGAGAGAAATGATGAATACGGGGCCAAATGCAAATAACTGGTGGAATCTGGAAAAGAACAAATGGAGTTCTTTTATTATTGACACCTGAAACTTGTCTCTAAGTTAGAGATTAAATAAAAATAGATGTTAAAAACAGCCACCTAACAAATGCTTATTGGGCACCTACTTTGTGTCAAGCACTGGAAAGAGATACACCATGACCAACAGAAAATAGGGTCCTCGCCCTCACAGAGCTTGTATTTTAAAATGACAGATATTAAATACACAAGCAAAGAAACAATGTAAGATAATTCAGGTGGTGCTACGTTTTAGAGACTAGAAATACGAGTATGAAAGCTAGGGACTAGGGAGGCCTGATTTAGAGAGAGGGTTGTCAAAGAGGTTTTTTTTCATGAGTTGAGACAAGCTAAGTGCTTAAAGGAGAGTGATCCAAGCAGAGGAAATATAATAATGGCAAGCACAAAGACCCTGAGGTGGGCACTTACCTGAAATTTAAAAAAAAAGAGGAAGGGGGGGCGCAACTGTAGAGTTTCAAGTAGCGGGTGCAGTGAATAAGTTTATGTTCTTGTATGTGCTGTGTGGAACGTGCCCTGAAGAAGACAAGTGGGGAGGCAGAGACCAGGTGAGGGATGATGGTAGCTTAGGCAACAGAGGTGGCTGTGAAGGTGGGTAAAAGTGGCAGAAAGGATACTAGAGGCAGAGCCGACAGGAGTTCCCCGTGGACTAGAGTACAAGGCCAGTCTTGCACTCCCCAAAGACTGAATTTTCAATGCAGCTACACAGAGAGCCTGAAGTCTCTTAGAAGGTATCTCCGTTCCCCTGCAACTCCACCCAAGTAAGAGGGAAAAAAAGACTGTAGAAAAAGGGATTTGGTGAGAGTCTAATTCAAGATTACAATCCCTCCCCAACCTATCTCTTCTCCTCACCTCGGTATCTAAGAACAGGTTTTAGAAACCTCCAATAGGGAGCTTGAAAGGTCGCACACCCCAAATTTGGATACCATGGTCTGGCAACTGTTGGCCTGTATTATTTCCAATGGAGCCCTCGAAATCTAAAATGCTTTAATACATAAATGTGAATTCTGACCTGCCAAAATAATTTCTACTTCTGAGGCTCTCAAACCCTGCTATTTGGAAACGTGGGATTTCGTTTGACCAATAAAACAGTCATTCTCCATTCTTTTGCACTAAATAATGAAAAGTTCTCTAATTTTAAGTCATTTCCTTGCTGTGAAGGGAACACACAGGTCACCTAGCTCATTCATGCTGTTTTGCAGAGGACCGTGAATTCCAAGTTCTCTACTGATCTAAAAGCTACAGAAAGCCTATTTCAGAATAAGGGTCCACTGCTGGGAGGCCTGGATTTTAATCGGCTTTTCCCTTGGGGAGTAATGATGTGATTTCTGACCCATTCATGCTTTTTCATCTGTCCACTCTGGAAGCAGGACATGTGTGTGCAGAGAGGCCCGTGTGGGGACAGATCAAAGACTGGCTTTGTCCTTTTGGTCTTGCGCTATACCAAACCTCTGGGGCTTTGGTTCTGACCCTTCAGCTAAGTGGTTGCCACGGACCCCACACGGAAGCCCAGTCCACTGGAAGCTGATAAGCCCCAAGAATGAAGGGCGCGTCTTGATATATAAAACTAGGTCACTGGGTACTCAAGTATCTCAGTGTTCAATAACTCAAAACATTACACAACAAAGAGGTGCCCAGGCAGAGACAGGTGGGAAGTCTTTGCTGGGTGGGAGCAGACAAATTAGTAAATGGTAAGAGAGAAGGGATTTCTACAGGATTTGGGGCGAGGTACCATAGCAAAAAGTAAAGATATAATAAAATGGGAGTGAGTTGTATCCCCAATGAGCAAGGCTACTTTGGAGGAATCAGAGAAAGAGTTTTTAAGACAAGCAGAAACAAAGTTTATTACATAAAGAAGAAAATGATTCTTCTTCCCAATTTGCTTTTCCTAGAGTAAAAACTGGCTTTCCAGTCCTCCTGAAAAAGAACTGTCTTTCGAGAGAGGCCGTGAGCCAGCCTCACAGGAGGGAGGATAGCTAAGGTGAGATCTGCAGAAACACACAAAGGCCTTTTCATCAGCAAATCCAGAAGAGCAAGTTTGTGGCAGAGTTCACCACAGAGCTCTCAGGTTGCAAGAAGTGGGCCCCTTTCGGTTATAATTAACATTTGTGGGTGGCATGAGACTGACAGACCATGGGGACATCTGAGTGTCTGAAAACCGTGTCAGGCCTACAAAAGTGCCCCAATAAAATATGTGCTGAATTAAATCTTGGACTTTTTCCACCCAAGAACTCTTCTTTTGAAAAAGCGACTAAACCAATATTTCTTAAGAGGTCCGAAGAGGTAGAAAGCAGGTAGGTTAGGTGCTAACTAAATGGAAAATGCAATGCAAAATCCAACGTATCCTTCCAGAACATTTCAGGGCCTAGTGATTGGTGAGGGTCACTTTTCGAAATCAAGGTACCACCTCTGCCATCATACGGTTTGGATGATCAAAGGAAGCATGCACACCCCTATGTGCACCCTTTTTAATCAGCTGTGTATGTGGCCTTTTGTGTTTTCAAAGAATGTGATCAGAGGGCCGGCCGAGTGGCGTGTTGGTTAAGAGCTGGCTTGGGACGCCAGAGGGCCCCGGTTCGGATCCCACATATGAGGGCCAATGACACTGCCCTCTACAGCTAAGATGGTGAACAACAGCTCAACCTGGAGCTGGGCTGCAGTGGGTTGCCATGGGCTACCGTGTGTAGCCAGCAGCCAGCAGCCAGCGTGAGTGGCCATCAAGAAGCCGGCGACCCATCTGCCTCGCCTGGGAAGAGCACAACGATGGTACCAACTTGGGCCAGTGAAGCAACGTCCTCCACAACTAGACTGAAGAACAAAAAGGACAGCAACTTGTCTGTTCTCCTTCCCCCAATTCCCCAATAAAAAAATCTTTTTTTTTAAAAAAAGAATGTGATTAGAATGGGAAGCGGCCAGTGGCACTGGCACATTCATAGGCATAGTCTCCTCTTCCCTGAGAGAGGATACAAGATCAGAGAAGAAAATGCTGGGATTGTGACTTGGGTGGGGAGAACCATCTTTCCAGCTGATTTTTATCTAAACAGCACACCAGTGTGCACAGCACTCTTTCCTGCTCCAACAGGAAGAAGGGGCACACGCTCACTGCCCTCACAAGTGGAACACTGGTTTTCCACAAGGGGTCAGGAAGTGCAACCAGCCAGGACACCAAAAATAAGGATGTTTCCCACCAGTCGGCTTTCATAACAACGGTTTCAATTGTACTCCCTCCTTTCTGCCTCCTTGGGAACGTGTGCAATATAAAACGTGGGCCCTCCCTCCAGTCTTGGTACCCGACTACTTCTGAAAAGGCTTCTTGTTGTTTTACGGCCCGGGTAGCACCCACAAGATTCCAGGGACCCTTGACTTTTTCTGCCAACAAATTCTGGAAAACCACCAAGTACTCTAAATTTAGAGCTGGGGTCCAGGACCTGACATGTGGTTCACGGCGGAAGAAACGCTGGCCAGCTGAGGAGGCCCAGAATGGGGGTGGGCGTGCTCCCCGCCCCCACCCCCCAGTACCTTCCACAACAGCTCGCACTCCCGCTCCTCCAGGGCCTTCTTATGCCTTGCAGTCACAGCTTTGACCTCCGACTGGACCACCTTTGCCTTCATCTCCACCTGTTCTGCCACAGTCTGGGCCTGCTCGATGCTCAGCTGGAAAAATCAAAAACAATCTCCTAGCACAAGAAGGACCTTCGCTCCTCAGACAAAACATTGAAGCCTGCTTTTTTTTTTTTTTTCGGACCTAAAAAGTGAGCAAACACCCAGGGCCCCCAGACCGCTTGATCCACATCCTTGGAAAGAAAACAGACACTTAGGGAGAGAATGGCACCTGTCTGACATGTAACTGAAGTTGCTGCTGGCAAACGCCGGGTTTCTTTGTACGAGAAATGGCACCTACACAGTGAATGTCAGGACTATTAAGAGATACTCTGACACAGTGGAACCAGTGTAGCTGGGTCACAGCCGAACACTGGGGATGAGGATCACATGTGAAATGTACTACCCCGGGCACACGCACAGCTTCCCGGTCTTTCTGGCCTTACTCCCCGCCAGGGGGAAGCTCTGCAGGCCGGGCACATCCCTCACAGGAGGGTGTACACCACAGGTTGCAGGCCAGCCGTCATTCATCATGTTCTTGTCAGGTCATTTCCAGGCAGAACCAACACGAAGTGCACACTGGGAATACCGTCAGATCACCCAAGAAACCCTGCCCTGTGGTCAGAGACGGCCTGCCAGGGACCATCTACGCGCCACCACACACCCCACCCGGTACCACCAGCCCTAGTAAATCAGCCAGTTTAATCAGACGTATTATTGTTCATAAAAAATTAATCCTGACAGAAGGCCTGGTGTTTTCATTAATATTACATGACATGTCTTGAAAAGCCACAAGGATTTCTTTGAGATACTGAGGTATTAAATCAGGGATGCCAAACCAACTGCTGATGGTGCAACCATTTTAGAGCAGGTGTCCCCACGCAGGAGGGGTTTGGGGAAGCATCAAGGGCTTGGAGCCTGACCTGGGCTCAGGAATTAGTCACGGGCGGCCAGTCATCCATGTGCCCTGAACTGAGGGGTTTCCGGAATAGGGAAGACGTCCAAAAAGGAGGCCATTGTATGCAAACCAAGCTGGATGGTCACCTTAGGAGTTGTGTAACCCGGTTCAAATCCTAGCTCCACCTCCTACTAGTTCAAAGGCCTTGAACTGGCCTCCACCCTTGGTACGGGTGACTGTGAGAAAAATGCAGCAGAATACATGGAAAGAACTGAGCACAGCACCTGGCACAGGCTATTATTAACAGGGCGCAGAGAAACACCTGCAACAGAAGCTCAACCATCCTTTCCCCTCACCCCACCCACTTAGCTCTTCATAGGCAAACAACATCATGTACCTTGGCCTAGTCACACTTCCTGCCTTATTTTGTTTTTGAATTGTAATCTCACACACCCCCACACACACACCTCCTGCCTCTTTTTGAATTGTGCTAAAATACATAACATAAAATTTACTATTAGTGATATTTAGCACATTCAGTGTTGTGCACGCATCGCCACTAGCTCCAGCCCACTTTTATCACCCCGTGAGAAAACGTCTATACCCATTAAGCAGTCCTTCTCCATCTCACCTTCCTTGTCCCCATGACAACCATAATGTATCTACTCTGTCTCTATAAATCTGTCTATTCTCATATAAATGGAATCAAACAATACATGACCAGCCTTATGTTTATGAATACACTTCTGGCTAAATGGTTGTGACTCATTCGGTCACTTCGAATTGGGCCCCCCCTATTTACCAACTTTAATCTTCTCAGCCTGGATGACACAGTAACGGCATGGGTGCCACACCCACATTGCAGCTACCCCCACATCATCCGCGGCTGTGTTCACAGCTCACTGCACTCTCTGTCCCGGTCCCTGTGAGGCCTATGCATCCTCTGAGCTGACCGGGCTGGCACTTGGGTTGATCTGGATGATTCATAGACTATCCGCTGCCTGGAAGACCTTTTCTTCCAAATTCAGCCTAAAGCTCAAAGCCGAGCTCAGAAACCGTTTCCTTCCTGAGGCTGGAAGTGGAGGCCGCCTTCATAGAATCTTTCTGCTTCATCTTTACAATTCTGTCCCAAGTGCCACTGCATATCCAACCAAGTTAGCGGCTAAGTACATAGTTCATGATACTTTAGCCACTGGGCTATAAACAGAGACAATCGATGCACTTTAAATTTGCTCATTTCTACGGCCATAACTGTAAGCACTAGGTAACTGTACGGGGTTAAACAATATCCTCCCCTAAATTCAGGTGCATTTGAAACCTCAGGGTGTGACCTCATATGGAAATAAGGTCTTTTCAGATGTTAAGATGAGGTCATAATGAAGTGGGGTGAGTCCTAAATCCAATGACTGGGTAACCATGTAAAGCCACATAAAGACAAGAGACACAAACACAGAGGCCAGGTGACGGCAGAGGCAGAAGCCAGGAGGGATACAGGCCCGAGTCACAGCAGCCACTAGAAGCCAGGAAAAGGCAAGAAGAGAGTCTTCCCTGGAACCTTCAAAAGGAGCATGTCCCTGCTGACACTCTGTGTTTGGATGTTGGAACTGCATGATAATAAATTCCTGTTATTTCAAGTCATTCAGTTTGCGGTAATTTATTGTAGCAGCCTTAGGGAATGAATACAGCAGCCAACAAAATGAAGCAGATGAATATATCCACATTATCCCTAAGATTAAAAAAAAAAATTGAATGACCAATCAAGTGTGCATATAAACAGGTATCATAACGGGGGTTGGTAGATTTTCAATGTCTCAGGTTGTCAGTCAAGATTCATTCAGAAGGAGACACTTCACTAGACATTTAAACAGAAATGATTTCAGGTGAGGGATTTGGTTAACCAGGAATTGGAGAAGTGCTAGGACAAAGGGCACCCTGAAGATCAGAGATAGACAGTGGCTGTGGGAGGTAAAACCCCACCACCACCCCGCACCTCCCCCCTGGCCTGGGAAAACAAAGAAAAGAGAAGAAAGTGGGGCTTCCAAGAACCAGAGGTAGGGAGGAGGGGCTGTGTCCAGCTCCTTCTGGGAGTGGCATAAACCGCAAACTGCAACCAACTTCTGCAGCGGAGAAGACTAGGAAGTTAAAAGGAAGACGCGAGTTCCTCCTTCCCACTTCCAGATAGATGAAGTTCTGCATGGCACAGGTTGGGTCACAGCCGAGTGCAGAACTCACTAACAGGTAAACCCTGTTTTCAGATGTGTTATTCGTTAGCAAAGAGCCAGTGTCCAAGTCAATGTGACCGAGGCAACCAAGCCCATGTCCATAATATTTCATAACACTCCCTCAATAGTCAGCAGGGGTGGCAAACTGCTTCCTATTCATACCAGTGTCATATTATTTACTGATTTATCATTAAAACTGATTTTTCCACAAGGATCATAAGATATGATAATAACAGGCCCACACATTCCTGCAGGGCAAGAGCTGGCTGGAGAGAGCAATGACCGCTTCTCCTTTGCATGAGGGGTGGGGGGTGGTGTTACCATGTGAGTCCAGGTGAGGTCTACTCACCTCTCCCCCTACTGTCTCCTAGCCAGGTTTGCTGCTCCTTTATATCCTGCCAGGTCCCTGCAAGCTCTTGGGTTTTGAACTCCCATTTTTTCAAGCAGGTAGAAGCGCTTACTGTAATGTAGTCTCAGTCATCCCCCAAGCATGCAAGGACGATACCATTCCTGGGGCTGAGAGGCATAAAAGCCCTATGTCACAGACAACAAGGCTATTTCCTATCCACTTCGTGCATGATCCAGTCGAGCACTGCATTCCACTCTATGCAGACCAGGACCTGCTGAACTAGTTCCCATTATCTACAGCAGGGCTTTTGAAGGAGGCAAGAGGCAGGTGGGTTGGGGGGAAATGACAGTGAGGGCAAGGGCTGCGTAAACTTCGAAAACCAGAACACACTTTGCAGTTAAGAAAAAAAAAAAAAAACCCAACAACAAAAAAGTTATCATCTTCTAGAAGTTAACAGGTCCAATCAAACATCTGAAATGTGAGAGTCTCAATGTGGGCAGGTGAAATCAGTCAGTGCATGCTAACTGACTTCTGCGTGATAGCCACTTAATACTGAGGAGTCTGAAGCCGTATCTGTGGTTCCTAGAGAAGAGAGTACAGAAAGTGATTAGTGATGTCTGCTATGGAGAAGCATAGTGGCCGGATGACTGGTGTTTAAAGTATCCTGATAGTCAGAAGTTAAGAGAATCCAAATACCACGCATACCAGATAGGAGAAAAGTACTGTAGTTCACTCTAATATCTAATTTTCATCACATTTAATATCTCTGAAACTATGATTTAGCTTAAAATTGTCAGTGGGTTTTTTTCCTTTATTAGTTGTATATAACATAAATGTGCATCTTACATTCAATGGCATCTAAAATGTGATAAAAAGAGAAATACAGTCATTAAGAAATCAAGGCTCTCTTATGTGGAAACTATATTCCTGATCCCGATTATGGAAATCCCTGGGAATCTGTGCACCTTGTAAAATCTTCTAATTACGTAAGTGACCGAAAGTGAAAGAAAAGTTCTAAAAAGCAATAAAAATGAGCGGTTGCCCTTACACTGGTGAGGTACACTACAGACATCTTCCAGCTCTCCTTGTTATGGGTAACTCGTCAGGGTACATTCTCTTTACAGGACTATCTACAATTAATTGAGGGATTTACTTATGGGTGTTTTTTTCCCCTAGAACTAAGGCTCTCAAGCTGAATATAGACAAGTTGTTGATTCTCTCAGAGTCATAATTTGGGAGCTGTGGCTCATAGCCAACTGTACATCCAATACTTATAATACTGGAAAAAAAACTCAGTCAATGCAGTAAATGAGTCTTTTTTTTTTTTTTAAGATTTTATTGGGGACTTCGGGGATGGGAACAGCACTGGGAAATCAGGGAAAGGGAACAGACGAGTTGCTGTCCTTTTGTTCTTCAGTCTAGATGTGGAGGACGTTGCTTCACTGGCCCATGTTGGTATTATCATTGCGCTCTTCCCGGGTGAGGCAGATTGGTCGCCGGCCTCTGGACGGCCGCTCATGGTGGCTCTTGGCAGCTCACACCGGCTGCCGGCCACTCACGGTAACTTATGACAGCCCACAGCAGC